AAAAAAAAAAAAAAAAATTACATACATACCACTCCATTTGTAAGTACTAACATTTCGAGAACTTCAATTTTTACATGCATACCACCTCACCTAAGCATGAAAAGATAGCATTTCACTTTCTATACTTTTTTTGTGACACGAAGAAATTGGGTGATATAAATTATAAAACGTAAAATTTAAATGTTAGATATGTAAATACATTGGCATTGGGTGGTATGCATGCAATGATGCAAATGCCCTCAAAAAGAAAAGAGAAAGAAATGAATGTCTAATAGAGTCACCTTACTTGGCTAAGCACTTCTACAATCTCTACAACTCATTTCTCCCATGCTCAACGAATCATTATTTATCAAGTAAAGTGTCAAAATTGTCCCCAACTATTTACATGGGACCGTTATAATCCCAGAGTTGATAGAAATTTTAAAATAATCCCTGACTATTTTAAAATTGAGCTCTAGTAGTTCTCCATAGAGACTTTCAGCCCCGATTTAAAAAGTCTGAAGACTATTTTGACACTTCTATAAACTCTGAGACTAAAATGACCTCATGTAAATAATAAGGAACTATTTCGGCACTTTACTCATTATTAAATGATTATTCATTAATAGTAATAATTAAAACAAGAATATCTATCTAGTTTTATCCTGCGACTCCTGCAAATACTCATTCATGAAAATACTAAAACAGAAGTCTGAATGAATGCCACTCAGCTGTAGGGAGAGGAAATGTGAAATTTGAAAGATAAATGATTCAAATAATAAATATATCAAACAAGCCAAAATCTGATAGGTTCTCCCTCCCTTGAGTTTCAATCCCAAGAGCTTGCATTTTTAATAGCCCTTCCCTTCAGGTTCTGCGTATAAGATAATCTCATCACCACAGCATACAGAATGTACAAGAGAAATCATTATACGGCCTCTGATTGTCAAAACGAAGGTGAAAATTATAGCTTCCAATATCTTACAATATGCATGGCAATTACTAATTGTTTTAAATTATATGCCACCAAACCTAGGCTTATATTCTGCAACCATATGGAACATTAGTAATTGCAAATCACAATTACCAGGTCCAAGCAAAAATCGATCGCTGTCCGGGGCAGCATCAAGGCAGTGGAGCCTTCAACAAAAAGCATCTGTAGAAATCAAACCAGGAAAGCTCTGCACAAAATGTTGTTTTGCAATGACACATTACAGTATATTATCTCTCAATGCTTAGATGGTCTCCTCCTGTGAGCAGGTGAAATGGACCTTGATCTCCTGTTCCTGAAGAAGAAAAGGTTTTGGAATCAAATGGATAGAGAATAAGCCAAACAATGGAGAAACCATGTTATAATCACCTTTAAGCTTTAGTTATGGTGTCTAAACTTAATAGTAGGAAGAAATGTGTGAAAGCTCATACCTTCTCGCCGAAGAGTGGGGGGAATGCCGGGAATGAGAATGCTTGCTATGGGGAGACCGCGAGGCTTGTCTAGAAATGAAAAAAGAAAAAAAAAACATCATACTGGTTTGGTGAGTGAAGATGTTGAGTTTTGACCCCCAGTTGCATTACTTCAAAACCTTCCTGCATGCTTGAAAACACTATTTTTTGACTTGCATTTAAAAAAAAAAAAGGTTATATATTTGTGTAATAAGCAAGGTCGAAGCAGCAAATGGTTAATTTATCATGTCAGAAGAGAAAAAGGTAGGCATAAGGGCAGAAGTCAGGGTTTCCACACAATCTTCTGCGACATAAACTAACATTTGGGTGGATTGTACTAAGTCTTTTGGAAATTTCGCAGATAAGCCTCTCATTTTCTCAGAAATACATAAATTTTTCCAGTTGTTATGAGCTTATGAAATAAAGTCCACTTACCCTCCCTCCCCTCAATCTCTCTTCCTGTGGGTGTGTGGTAAGGAGAGTAGGGCGACACAACCAATAAGAAGCAAAATAATGGCTTCTCAATATCAATAAAAATCATAAGAAGAATTTTGTTTGCTCTGATGAATTATATTGTAGCACAAAAATTACCATCAGAATAGATGTTATTGCATATAACTACATTTATGAATCCATTCCAACATAACCAACATAATTTTAAGCCAATACTTCATTACTTTATTCATTAATACATTCTATAGCTCATAAGCTCGATTCCTTTATATATATGACTATCATGACAATCTCATTTATTCGCAAAGACAAGAAAAACACTTTTCCAATCATTTAGCACGAAAACTCCTCATAAATATTTGCTACCAAACTGCTCAAAGTATACATTTTGACTCATAACTTTCCAAATCTCAATAAATTTCTCATTTTAACCTAAACATGTGCGTTAAAGTTAACTTCACACATTAACGGATCAATCTATAATATAAATTATTATAAAAAAATAAGATAGCCACACACAAACGTAGATCTGATATGCAGCTAAGTTTCTTCATTACAATATCTCAAAAAGCCTCTCAAAACAGAGTGAATTATATCAAGCAACAAGTGAAAACACAGCAAACTATAGGAAGGCAAAGCAAAGTGCATGTAGGAATATATCCATTCTTTAGTACACATTCCGGAACTAAGCAAATACAAAACTTGCACCTTCTGCTCTGAACCAACTTGGTATATTATTTATAACATGAGGCATTATCACATCAGGCAATTCAGGGCTGCAGAAAGGCGTTAAAAAAGTAGGAAATGAGAAATGATGGACATGGAAAACAATATTCATGTATGGCATACAAAAGCAAGAGAGCTTATGGTAAAAATAAAACGTATTAGAAATTGCACTAGCAGTTAAAGCTATATAAATAGAATTCGAAATAAAACTTTCCAAATTTGAACTTTAAATTATTATTTAGGCTTTTTACATAACAACCACCCAATATTTTAAATAGAACGGATTGACAGCTCAAATTTAAAGCTTTACATTTCAACCATGCAAAAATCACCCAAAATCTTAAGTGTGACGGATTGACCACTCCTCTTCCTAAAGGAAATAAAATTTTGGGTGATTGAAAAGTAAATTTTAAGTTTAGATGGCCAAAAGATTATATTTAAAGTTTTGGATGATTAATATGTAAAAGCCCCAATTATTAAACTAGGATAATCTACATTTCTTTCTCAGTCCGTTAAAAGAAAAGTAATCACTCAACTGCCAATACAGCATACAATCCTGTGATAATGAATATAGACATGTTACACCAACAAAATAAAGGATGCATTTAGAAGTATAAGATTTCATTAATTACGTCAAATAAATACTAATAAACAATAAATTCAGTCATATTCCTCTCCTACTCGAACCATTTCCATAAGGAGAAGGAATCAAGGAGAAGAAACAGAAGAAGGCACAAGAAACACCAACAGACAAAATGAAAAATAGAAATTAGCTCAATGGTGAAATGAAGAGTGAAAGAAGAGAAAAGTAATAATAGAATATCACGAGAACCAACATGTTGCAGTTAGCTTGATGAAAACTTTTTGGAGCCTCTTCAGAGAAACGCAAAGTGGTAGGGGGAACTAATAAAGGAAAATCACCAGCATCAACATGGTGCAGTCAGGTTCATGCAAACTTTTTGCTGACTCCAAGTCAAGCTCTTTTCTTATGCGTCTTTTCATTCAGTTAACATTTTCAAATGAATTCCTTCTAATCATGTTTTAGCTCCAGCCTACCACTTTGTCTTTAGCTCTTCACTTATCCTATTGCTAAGGCTGTGAATTTAGCTTGAAGAACGTTAATCGCACAAAAATCGATTCAAATTTTAGCTTGAATCGAAATAAATGAGCCAACCTATGAGCCAAAAAAAAATCGAATTATTTTCGAGCCGATTTCGAGCCATACATAGATTGGCTTGAACTGACTTAAGATCAGTTCGTAATATTATTTATTTATAAAAATTATATATCTGATGCTAAGTAAAATTGAATATAACATGTCACGAGCCAATTGCTAACCGATTTTGAGTTGGAATGGATCCACATAACTCGATTTAAGCCAGTTAGTTTCAATTTTGAGCCGGATCGAGCTAATTATGAGCTAAAACAGATCCAAATAACTCAATTTGAGCCAGCTCATTTCAATTTCTAGTCGGATCAAGCTCGATTCAATTTTGAGTTGACTCAACTCAAAATTGAATATAACGAGCCACAAGCCAATTTTGAGCAGCACTAAATCTATACAAGCAAATTCTGAGCTGACCCTAGTGCAGCTCGAAATCAGATTGGTAACAGGGTACCTATTGCCCATCCAGTCATGAACATAACCATGACAAGAAAAGAAACAAAAAGGACTCTGAATATAAAAGAAATAGTATAAGGCATGAAGTGAAAGGAGCATAAAGGGAATAGTATGAGCTAAAAATAAGAAAGGAAAGCAAACAGATGAAGAGAACATAATAGTAAAAAAAGGGTATAGAGAGAGACAGAAGGCATGTAAAACAATATATATATATATATA